TTTTTTAAAAGATGTCTTGAAAGTAGTTTCTTAAAATTTTACTTTGAAATATCAAAAATTGTGTCAGTTATGATTTTTGGAGTAAATCTAGTCATTTTTCGCGTTTTTTGGGCTTTCCAATTTTTTTTCTTCATTTAAAATCAAATTTCGTCTAGAAAAATTATTCCGTCATATAAAAAAGATGTTTGAAATATATTCTGGAATTAAAAAAAGAAAAATGAATTATTTTATTACAGCAAACATTTTTGTAGCTGGGGTCGCGAAAGACCCCAGTGTGCCCATTATGTGATTCTACTGAAGTGTGCACAATAAGGATTAAGAATATACAAGACAAGTAAGAATCAAACGCTGATGTTGAAGCGAATACCTAATAATGGGAGGATAAAATAATGTTTAATGATGTTATGACGCTCGCACCGAATAGTTTTCTGCACTTTGTAGGTAGAAATCAAACCTTCCACGTCAAACTATTTCTGAATCCTAATTATTAATATTATCCCCCTTACTATCTCATCCTAATTACGCAATATTTGATATATTTTGCGAAAAATATTACCTCCTTTCTATTTTCTTTTTTTTTTTTAATTGGACCAATTTACACCAAGAGAGGCACAGATGTTCGCACGTAAATTACTCTTCATTTTTTCATGTCACTGTGCAACATATAATGTAGAAATCAAACATTGTGCTATAATGTAATAATGAAGAGTAACCAATGCACGAACATCTGTGCCTCTTGGCTCGAATTGGCCCAATTAAGAACAAACAGAGAAAAATTTTTGGACTCTTCTGGCCACCATGCCGATTTCCATCGATTGCGCGAGATCTTAAGTAAAATCCAAACGATCAAACTACTGTAAGTAAAAGTGTGTGCATTTTCGACGTGGTTTCATTAACTTGCCACTGGCTGCGTGTCTAATTTGTCAGATGCGCAATTAGTCACACCTCGTGCGTAACTAACGAGAAGGCGCGCAGATATCGACCACGTGTTAAATAGCGGCGACGCCGGCAGCTTTATTAACTCGTTCGATCGGCGTCGATCCGTCGAATTGCCGTCGACGTGGGCGTCCCGATCGCAGTGATTAAGCCTTTACCATCGTTAATCGGCGCAAAGGTGTACACCTTCGACCCCTTCGAATGAGCGACCCGATCAGCCAGGAGTCTCGCTCTTTGACGCGAGTCGTATTACAGAGAGAAAGACTTACCATTGTGACTGCAACGCACACGCCCCGGCGATCGAACGACCCCCGACGAGTTAAAAATAATCACAGTCGTCGTGGAGCATTCGACACGATAATGAGTCCGACTGCACGGCGAGGCACAATGCTCGAAAAGGCGTCCCGGGATCGGATCTCCTTCGCGTCGGGGTGTGTCTTTGGGGAGATCGCGATCGCGGACTCGCTTTCACTCGGAGTGCGAGAGCCGCGCAGCCTCGTTTCACGATCATTAATAACCGGCGACTTACGTCGCGGCGAAAGGGTTGACGACGAAGCGGAGGAGGGTGGAGCGGGCGAGAGTCCCCTTCCTTTTCTCTCTTTCTTTCTTTCTCTGTCTGTCGTTTTTCCCCCTCTCTTCTCTAATAACGCTCGATTTCGTTCTGTTTCGATACGAATTCTCTTTGTGTGTCGCCTCCTCGGGCCACTCCAGCGCGCACAAAGGATGCGTTTCTCCCGACTGCACCAGGCCGATGCGACCGGTGCAGCTGCAAGGCCACGGGGGTGGAGGGGTACAGTCGCAAAAGAGAGAGGGGGGAGGCACTTCATCGCAGCCCTAATTAGCCAGTCGCCGGCGAATGGAGCGGAATAATTTCATAGTCGCGACGCATTCTTAATCGTAAATATGATTTCAGCGATATCAAAGAGTCCATTTTCAGACGATCTGTAATTCGGCTGCGTGCATATGTGAGCGCAATTACGATTTGCTGATCGCTTTTCTCGTGCTTATAATCAGATGTCTTCCGCGGTAACACCCATCCAAAGACCGTAAAGAGTGGAGTAATTTTTCGGCATTTTGTCCGTTCTTTCGGCGATCCGCCACTTTATTATAGCCTTTTACGACCGATCGTTAGAGACGGATACGTCTGAACCCCAGCGATTCGTTGGGGGGCCACCGAGACGCTTCGGAGCGGGCCGCGAATTTCCGCGGCGTTTCTTGGTGCCGACGTGCCGTAAACCGGGAATTAATTAGCAGGTAGCAGCCAGCTGCGAGCACCCGGGGCTTTTTATGAGACTCGTAAAAAGTTGATTCGGGAATCGCCTCGGACCGTCTCGTGCTGTCGGTAACTCGCGGTCACCAGATCAAAGATGTCCTTGTCCTTATTATTAACGAAAGTAACATCGATCCGTCTTGTAAGTTTTAAAGGAGAATCTCACTAAAGTCTCATTTGAGTGAGAGAGAAAGAGGGAAAGAGAGAGAGACAGGAAATAATGTAACATATAGTTCAGTTGATTTTATAACACGCGCGCGTTTAACACAAAATTTTTTACAGTGTATGCAAAATTTTATGTATTAAATTTTATTTAAAGATTTAGGAGCTGACAGAGAATACTATTCTATTTTACATATATAGATAATTTATTGATTAAAGAATTTCTTATATTATTAATTTTATTCTTGAAGATTATATCGCATAGTTAGCGATAGTCAGAAATAAACTGCGCGTTTAACTCGTTACTATTAATCTCTCCCGTACGCAGCGAGATGCTGATTTATCCGCGAGGATAACTCGTCTCGAGGACGTCTACGGTACAAGCACTCTCGTCCACTGCTGGTCCTTAGGGTAATTTCCATATAGGTACGGCGCGATTCATAACGTTCACTCATCAAGACGCGTTGTCCGTCTTCCACGTCTCCTACGTCTTCGCATCCGACCCCGGAATTGCTCCAATTCAGCCGAGCGTGTTCACTCTTCCGAACATCTTTATTTTCCGCACACGGCGCGTCATAAAAAGGACGGAACGTACGCATTAAGGTTTTACAGCTGAACTCGCGGTGGTTCACCACGACTCGATGCGTAACCGCTGATGAGTGAAACCGCGTGCTCGCAAAGTTATTGCGGCCGGTAACGCCGGAACAAACGCGCGATGCATTACAATGCATCACGGTCGTGACGTATTCTGTCATCGTTCATTTATCGCCGAAAAACGAGCGAATGAAAGCAAAGAGTTTCGAGATTACCATCGGATTGTTGAGTGCTTAAAACAGATTGTGTGTGTGCTATTTCTACTTCATTTATTCAATTTTATTTAATATAATATAATATAATAATATAATATAAAATATAATAATATAATATAATTTAATATAATATTAAATTTATTGTATATATCTAAAAAAAACTTATCTATATTTTTAGTAAAATTATATTTTTCATTAAAATATTAAAATGAAATATCTTCAATTTACTTGATCTATATTAAAAAAAAAATACATTTTTTTATTTGAAAAAATGTGTGTATGTTCGGTGGTATTTACATAAAGCAACAGTGGATTTGGAGAGAGAATATTTTTCCGCGTGAAATACAGTTTTCCATAAAAAATTTTATAATAAATCGAGCGGTAATATTTTAAGGAATTTAATAGCGGAAGTGGAATTGGCCGAAGGTATTCTGCTATTGAAGTCCAGACGGTAGATTCGGGAGTAGCTTGTGCACGTCTAGAGCAACCCTCGTCCGAGAATGCGCGTAATCCGAGACTCTTGTGTGAGGTAACCATTTAAACCGCTGACCGTAAACAGAGAAGCCGACGGGAGAGCCTTTAGAAGGCATCGTGGGTTCTTGTAAGGGCGTTAATTACGGGGCTGCTTTCGGTTTCTTCTCCCCCGGCCGATTTCCGTTGACGGAAATGGACCGCCTCTCGCACAACGGAGTAACGAACAACGAGCGAATGTCGAGTGCGGCGCGACCATTTAACTCTCGGTACACTTGGCCGAAGTGGAGCAAAATACAGCTCGTGCTCGCTCCGTGCCTGAGAACTGTCGTCGTTAACTGGCACGAACTCGCGAATATTTCTAGGCACGTTTCCGCAGAAAGGACGACGACATCTATAACGGGACGAGACTTTGGAGAAATCTATGACAATGATAAGTGCACTGAAAAAATTATTTTTGTATTTGGAACTAAAATATTTGATATATATACAATTTTGGCTGTCATTACCATGTTTTTGCTTGTGTCAAGTGTTTTAGCGAGAAGATATAACATACCAATTTTTGCCTGCAATCGCCGAACATTTGGTTGATCCCATTTTAACCAAATTTTACTTTTGCGTATCAAATTTTCGTTTCAACAACAGAATCCTTTTTTCAGCGCGGAAGATCTTCTACGACAATCGCGACGATCACTTCACCTCGCGGTTCGATCAAGATCTTAGAAAATTCTTCAGTGCGTCCACACTTATATCTGATTCGACATTAATTCTCAAGTAATATTATCTCGAGGAGAGGGAATCCTTTTGCGCAAAATTGTACTCCAGGAAAATGTTTTTCCTTCTTTGCGCGTCGAGATAAATAATTTTTCCCTTCTACGTAAGATCCAGGAAGGATTTTTCTTCGTTTTTGTTTTTCTTATAAAATTACTTCAAGGCGGTCTTGTTCTTTTTCTCTCTTTCCCTCTCTCTCTCTCTCCCTCATAAAATTACCTCAGGAAGGACTTTACTTAATTTACCCCGGCACAGAGGCAGGAATTATCTCGTGGGGCGCGTATATTATATTCAGACGTGTACTTTTTCATGACTTGAAACGTCGTACTCGTCTCTACGAAATTAACTGTAACTTCGTGACATACAGCCAGTCGAAAGAGCGTATCGCGTTACTCGCTCAATGACAGACTCGGTGGGAACCACTGAAACGCGGACTATGTAATCATCGCTGCAACGTGGTGCTCGGCTTACTTGGCCGCGCGCGCGGCCGAATTACCGGGCGTGCTCGAAACACGACACGCCAATTACCATTGCTCCTGTGTAAGCGCTCACTCACGTGAGTTATTTCGGTTCTGTTTCAGACACATCGTATGAGAAAGCTTGCCGAAGGGGTAGCGCGCCCGCCACCCCTGTGCTCGGCGCTCGACCTCTGGATGTCACCCCGAATCGGATCGTCGTAAGTAAATTTGACTATCCGCGCGCTAATTCGTTAACGCGTAATCGAATATCTCGCTCCTGTGTCACCTCGATAATTCCCGACTCCATTTTCGCCGTACATGAGGTGCGCTGTGACACTTAATTAGTGTTTTTGCACGAGTTACCCTTCGCCGTCAATCATCGGACGGAAGTTCTATTATAACGCCTACTTGATCGCGAGACCTTCTTGATTATATTGTACATGATATTGTGTGTCGAGTACAGGAATCTCAAGTATCCTAGCAGGTTTTATCCTATTATCCCACGACAGTTGATACATAAAATAAATCTGTAAAAAGGAATGATTAAGAACGTTAAGGCAGAGGTTACGAGGGAAAAATAAATTAAGGAAGGTAAATGTGGCTCTTATACTGTGCATTCAAGTGTGTTATTTTTAAACACGCGTAAGCGTATAATTTGGCGGAAACTCCTTTTACAAGTCTCTTATCGGTTTAAGTCACGTCATTTCAGACGTCGCTTAAGACGTGTAGATTATAATTTTATATGTTTTTAAACGTGTTCAATGACGTTGCTTGAAATGGTAAGAAACATATAAAAAGAGATTCAGTTAAAATAACACACTTGAGTTTGCAGTGTGGAGGTTTCATTTACTTCTTACTTTAGTTAAGTTTCATCAAAGCCTGTTTACATATCAAGATCATTTATATTTTTTGATTGTGCTACTATTAATAGTATTGTGTAGCAATCTAGGGTCAAGATTTCTACGAAATTCGTTTTTCTCACATTTGCCGATAAAATTTTAAAAAGTTGAGATCCCAAATACGCAGACGTAACGATATTCGACAGGGAAAGATCTCCGAGCGATTTGAAGTAACGTGAAGCTCCTAGCAGAAGATTCGACGACTATCGACGTGATTGACTCTATCTCTTGATAAAATACCTTCGAGATCTTCGCACATGTGCTCGTGTTACGTGACGTTGTTTTTTCCATAAAGTCGTAAAGGAAAGAGAAATGCCAATCCACTCGCGTGCACGCTTTCGTTCCGTTTCTCGTGCGCAACTTAAGTACGTAATCCCGTCCTAAGCCCGAGGTATATACACATATATCACGCATTGACGGCTCATGAATGAGAATCGATTTTCCGGGACGAGGGACTTCCCGGGGATAACCGGGGACGACGCAGTTTGCCGCGGCTCGACGGCCGACTTAATGCCCGACCCGTTGAATATTCACGAGATTCCGGCGGGCGGGCCGAAATGCCCGCGCGGATTCGCGCGCGCATGCGATACGTGTAATTAGTTATAAGCCCGTGCATAAACCGTCCCGAGACGACGAAGTCGACGACGACGGGTTCAGCGATCCCATTTTCCACGGCGCCTGGCGTTAACCGATTCCGGCTATATTTAACGTTGCCGGCGCGACGCGGGACGCTTTCGCGTCTCTGACAACTTCACGTTAATTTAATTTCATCAAACGCGGGCAGGCAGCGCGGCGCGGTGCGGACGGAGGAGGGGAAACATTTACCGTCATGGGACGTCTACCTGTCCGCCTCTCGCAGTCGATTATCGACCTGACAATCGACGTAACGATAGAGACGTCGCGCTTTTCCCGGTTACAAGGATCATCCACGCGAGATCTCACGTGGAGCATGTATGATTAAATATGCCGCCCCTTCTCTCTTTCGCTCTCTCGCGTCGCGTCTCCCCCCGCTGTTCGTTTACGGTTAATTGCGCGCGACCTCTTCTCGCGTTTTCCTCGCGTGATCCGCGAGAGGAGCGCGTGTCCTCCTCCGCCGGAGAGAGTGCATCAGCCTCGCAGATTAGATCTCGTTTACTAGGGACGCGAAGCAATCGTTCGCTCGGAGATTTATCGGCATCTCGACGTTTCTTGTGGCGAAGCGCGCGCGAATTTATGCCGCAGTCGGATGCGTTATCAGCAGACCGATGCCTTACCTTAGAGAAGATGCTACGATACGCGACCTCTCGACCTTCCGATAAGGGAACGACACGTCGTCGTCGTCGTTGTGCCATTCCGCGATATCCACGATTCGAAGCGACTTGTATGCGCCGTTTCCGGCCTTTTTCTGTATGGGATGTGCCAGAAATCCCTCGCATGCGACTCCACTCTAACCATTCATGCTTTGCTCGCCGGTCACGGAAGCGGGATTTCATTCTTCCGATCACGTAACTGACAAATCTTCCGGCGCCTCCGTGCGTCGGCCGGTCGTTAATCGACTCGGTTACTTCTTTTCCCCGTGGGCGAATAACACGTTATTTTCGTATTTCGAATGTGTCGTTTTCCCTCTCCCTCGAATCACGTTCGGCTTCCTCGTGTACGTCTCGGGAAGCAGCCGTATATGTGTTCTCCGATAAATGTGTACGTTTCCTTTCTCACAGATACGCGAAACACTGCGTATCTGCGTGTTCGTTTTGTCGATATGTCCGGGAAATATGCGATATCGCGAAGGATTTTCGTCGTAAACGTCGATTTATCTGACGTACCTGGCACTATCAGTAACTCACCGCTGTTAACTCAGGTAGGAAGGCAACACGGTGCGACAATACGACGCAACACGGAAAATATCGATCCGAGTCTCGTACACGTGCAGGTGTTCTCAATTCGCACGTGGTATCCTCGATCCTCGAACGAGCGAGCGAGTTTTCCCGCCGAATTTTCTCAGGGAGAAAATTCACTCGCGAACTAACGCAACACCCAAAGAAATGTAATCAAATCCTGATGAATATATCTTATAAGACTATTACTAAAAAAAGTATTCTTCGTTGGAGATAAGCATTGCTAAGAAGAAGGAAAATAAAGTGAATAATTGTTTTCATTAGCAGTGAAATGATCTTGTTCTGTGCTTGTTCTGTTGAAAGAAGATTCCGTTAAGAATAAGATTGTATTTTTTGGATGTTTCCGTTCATCTTTCCGCGATAAAATTTTGCGGTTCGTGCATTTCTTGTGAAACATAAGCTCTGTTAGAGGTCATAAGTGAGAGGAGTAACAAGACAACTCTAGCTCTGCGGACCGCTGATCGCCATTTCCTTGCTAATTGCCGCAACAATGATCCGCGGAGGAGAATGTCCGTCTGTCTTCAGACGCGATAACAGATACGGCTTCTCGCTCGTGATGTTAAACTTCGCCTGGTGTGTATGAGCCGCAACGTGTCGCGCGTCTTATTGTTGACCGACCGCACAAACACGTGTCGGGTTTATTCGCGGTTGATTCTGAAAACGCCTCCGAAGGATTTGCGCGCGGTCGACAGGAATGAGACAGCGGGGATGGGAGAAAGATGACGGGATATTTTTTGAGAACACGCTGTTTCTCTCTTTACGACGACTTGACAGCGACTTACGCATCCAGCGCGTTCGATGTCTACGATCGAAAGGGGTCGAAGGGTTTTGAAGGAACAAAAGGAGGAACAGACTGGTTTCGGGGCGAACCGTGACAACTACGCTGCTGTTTCCGGTTAAGGTACATCGCGGAGGCCACCGAGACGAATTATTCACCGGCCGTTCTCTTTGCACGCGATAATCCGATCGCGTTCATGCCGGACGTCTCGGCAAGACGAGACAATGCAACGGAGAGTGCCGCGATGAAAGAAATCCCCTCGCTGACTCCGAGTCAATCTTTCACTCCGGAACTCTTTCTTTCTTTCTATATATGTTTACTCACATTGCGAATTCAAGTGTTATCTTTAAACGCACAAGCGTGTAATTCGACCGAAGCTCTTTTTATACTCTTCTTGCGGCTTTAAATCAATTAAATCATTCGCGTTAAATCACTTAAATCATCAGCGGCTTTAAATCATTTAACATGCTCAAGAAAGAGTTGTGTAAATTATTACGTTTAAACGTTGTTAAATGACGTGACTTCAAGCGGTATGAAACGTGTAAAACGAGATTCAGCCAAAATAACACTTTTATGAGTCAAAACTGAGATATTCATTCAATATTAAATTGAATAATATCAATAAATATATTCAATATTAAATTGAATAATATCAATAAATATGAATAAATTCAATATTACCTTGTGTAATTACAGCACTAATAGAATCAGATATAGAGACACGAATTCTCGCAAAACTTGATGGCTTATATTTAACGAAATGTTCGTAGAAAATATTTTGCAAGAGAGCGTGTCGAGATTAGAACATTATTTTCCGAGCCTCTCGATCGTCGACGTGTGGGCACTCGATATCGAAGATCGGCCGAGCGTAACGTAACGACGAGCGAACTTACGCGCGTTACGCGCAACAAAGGAAAACGTTCAGGACGTCTCGATCGGTCGCTCATTCCGTACGTGCGGCACGTTCCGCGAGAGTGGGACCGGTTGCAGATGCAATCAGCGGACGCGCGCACCAACGAGCCGGCAGCCTCCGATTTGAGAACCCCTCCTCGAAGACGTTTTTGTCCTTACCGGTGTCGGGTACGAGGAGCCCGTTCGTAGACGAGGGAGCCCGCGGGAACCGGGGGGTGAGCCGTTTTGCCTCACCTGAATGCAGGGGCAGGGTTTTCGGTCGCGGGACAAAGGTGCGCCCCAAGGATCCCTTGACTTCGGCTACCCGGATGAGCCAACATCTGCGCCAGTCGTCGACGAGATTTTGCCGCGAAATCGCGGCCTCCTCGCCGGAAAGGGATCCGTGTCGGGCTCACAGAACGTGCTAACCGTCGTTTGCCCTCGAAGGAGGTGCTGCACTGCGAATCCAAGTGTGTTTTATCTTGGCCGAATCCCTCTTTTCTTACCGTTCCAAGTCACGTCGTTGGAATGTATCAACTTGCATGTCTCAAACATGTCAGATAACGTGATTTTAAAACCGCAAGAAACGTGTCGAAAGAGCCTCAGTCAAATTATACGCCTATGTGTTGTTTTAAAGTAACACACACTTGCTGCAGGGTGTCGCGAGAAGAAATGTGGTAATGGTGTCATCGCGACGCACAGAGACCTTGCAAGTCTTTATTATTGCAATCGAATATTTTTCTGTTAATGGACTGGTGAAACAACAATATCAGTCCACGAGTGCAGCGTCGTGAATGTTTATTGATCGACTGACTGAAGAGCAACCATACTAAGTGTGTTATCTTCGCGGAGCTATCGACGATTTAATCTCCGCTTCACGTTGTATTTTTACAAAGAGACATTTTTTATGATTCGTTGAGATATTTACATTGTCACCTGTGAAGAACCGAGATCGTTCATGTGATCGCGTCGACAATATGTGATTTTAATTATTCACGTTGGACATCATCACGAATAGTCCGCGTGTGAAAGAGAAACGCGACCTATCACGACCGAGAATGCAGAATTAGAATGAGTCGACATACGACACGCGACCCATAGATCGATACGAAGCTATGTAAAAACGAATGACGCATTTCCGGGCTTCCGAGGAGAGACGCTATTTTTAATTGGCAAACACGATACCGGTGGAGGGAAGGAAGGACAGGCTCGCCCGTCTCGTATTTCACTCGGAAATTAATGTTGATTTAACAATCGACTTCAGCGCATTCCGCGGCTTTTGTCTCGCGATTGTTGTCGCGATAAGTGAGATGGAATGCCGTAATCGGTCGATATCTTCGACGACGTGTCGGCCGAACGCCCATCAGCCGAGTCGCGAAATTCGACTCGCGATGCGTCGCGAGCAAGAAGCAGCTAGTGGAAAAGCGCGGTGAGTCCCCAAGAAGGTGTTGGCACGAGAGAAAGATTCGGGAGAGCGTGCTGTCCAGGCCCATTTAAAGGTCCCTGCGATTTAAACCGCCCTGACGGTCGGCAAGTGGCGCGCACGACGCGAGAGATTCGAAGGGCGGATACAGCCGATCGAGAGAAGTCCGACCTTCTTTTTTCGCAGCTGCAGGACACCCGAACATACCTGAGCGCGCTGAATCCGAAGAATCCTCCGCGGCCAAAGAATGTCTCGAGAACGAAAAAGGTGACGCGAAACGCGCATTGCTCCGCCATCAAAAATTCGAGTTACCTTTGAAAGTCCACGGGGGTGGCATTTCGTAGACGTCGCTGATAGCGACTAGTCCTCATGAGAGAAGATCTGCCAGGCTGCGCCAAGTATCCCAACACGATATCCGAGCAATCTCAGAGCGCGGATAAACGCTGATCTCGAGAACTTGGCTTTTTCCGTTCTCACCGGACTCGTCGCAGTGGATCCCTCGGAAAATCGGGAACGAAGTGACTCGAGGAGAAATGTCGAATCAAGAGAAGAATAGATCGTAATAAGCTCTGGCGCGAATAGATGAATATTTAACGAGTTGATCGATTGCGAAAGCGAGACTACGACAAACACGCGAGCGGTGATTCGCAATTATGATTGATGTCATGGAAGTAGGTGTTTCGCGACGACGACGAGAAAGCTGCCGGAGGAGAAGGCAGGAGGTTTTACTACGATGATAACACATTTCTCGACGCCCTAGCGAACGACTAGTCGTTGATTAGAAGTTCGTAGGAAAGGAAAGGACTTTACAGGAGACGTTTTCCGGAAACAATAAGCAAGGAGTCTTTGGCACTCGACTCGAGTCGTGCAACAACATCCGGGATTGTCGATACTCAATTGCGAAGACACACCTAAGTGAACGCTTGAATCGAAAGGGAAGCAATCGATAAGATATAAAGTCAGTGAGACGCGCGTCAACGAACTTGACAATGTTTACATGTGGAAGACCTGATGGACGAGCAGTCACGTTCCACTAGTGGTCATCTTATCAATGATGTTGCGTCTCTGTCATTGGCCGGAACTACCGTGTAGATAAGAGAGTCGTTCTTACTGAACGTATAAAATGACAAAAGTGGGAAGTAGAGAGACTCGTGACGATATACGATAAAGACTAACAAATAATAAGTCATCATAATACAATGTAGCGTAATTATATACATGTATCCGTAAGAGATGATGCGCCAGGCACTGTATAAATTAATTAGCAGTCTTGTGTTGGGTTATTGAAATTGTCGATGTGAAAAGTTGGCAAGTAGAATTTGAAGTACAATGAAAATAAGGAAAATAAATAGAGATATTTCAAGCGTGTCAACTGTTAAATATTCTGGCGTAATCGTAACGAATAGGTTCGTCGATATGAAAGGTGCTCAGTGAGTACAGTGCTACTCGATACGCGAATTTCCCCACGTAAAGACGGAATTTTCTTCTCAAATTCGCTCGAAACTGCGCGACGTGGAGAAAGATGTGTGTCAAGCCAATGGAGGAGAACGAAGACGACAAGGTTGTCAACATGATCTTCAACTACTTCAGCGCGAGGGTAAATATCGCAAAACGTCGCTCTCAGTCGAGATACTTCCGCGAGTATGTAATTTTCGTTAGTCGTGAGAACAACGCGCAATTTGCAGCGGAGTTTATCGCTCGAGTTGAATCAGTCGTCAAGCGGCACTGCCAGTAGCTCACTTGGAATTTTCATGTCAGCCAGACATTTATTTAAAATATTTAACCTAAAAATTTATAATTTAAGTCGTAATTGAGAGAGTATTCTCTTCACATAGCATTCTTGAAATATAATGTTGATGTTCTTCATTGTGAGTAATCTGATTGAGATCATTGCAGTCTCAAACCTGGCATCTCGAAATTTTATCATCTCAGAGATCTCTGTAATCTTATCATAGAAGAAAAAGCAAATTTTCTCATCTGTGTCTGTCGCATTACTCATGTTACTCATGTCACAGTACTCATGTTCCACATTTGGATGTATATAAATGTAAGTGAACGTAAGCGCACACTTCAATTTTCCTGCACATTGTTCAACAAGCAGTTTACAGCTGCTGCTTACTGCACACATCTAAATACTTATGGTGCAAGTGTACTTGATCAGAGTTCAAGGTAGTTTGAACACTTTTGTTACTAGTTACATTTCAGACTGTTAACAATTCCCAAAACATTCAGACATTGTTAATATCCTTCGAACCATCATCAAGTGGCATATATATTAAATTCCACCATGATCTCATATTGATCAATACGATGTTGATTTTCTTTTCTAGCGAGAGGGCACTCTCTATAAATCCTGAAATTTCAGGGACCCTGAAATCGTCGATTCTTGCAGTTCTCTCCATATAAAATTTTTCTCTCTTTCGCGACGTGACACTTCTTCGCGAGTCGTGCGTTAAATTACACGCGTTCGTAGCACGCGACACGACATCCTTAACCGAGGATCACGCTTTTTTGTTCCAGAACTTCTTCTCGAAGAGGTCGTTCCGCTCGAATCCTCTGAAGAGGACAAAGAGCGTAACGAAGCTCGAGCGACAGAAGCAACGGGGCGCAGGGCTACGGGGTTGCCGATCACACGAGTCCCTCCTGTGCGGCCAGGCGGTGACCTCAATGGACCTCGCGGCGGTGACGCCGCTGCATCCCAGCCTCCTCGGCAGGCCGCACTGCTTCCAGGTCACGCCGAGCACCGGCGGGCCCAAGTATTTCAGCTGCAGAACCGCTCACGAACGGGACCAGTGGTTGCACAGGTCGGTAGGACGACGAACGGACGGACATTGCTGTTCGCTTTTATTTATTGTCCGTCCGGTTAAGCTCGGGTCAATCGTTTCGCCCGGCGATTCGTTTTCGTCATATGAGGATGATGCGAGAAAACTCTCATGTCGTGAGAGAGTTAACTCCCGGAAGAATAAGAAAGAATGGGAGAATCGCAGAGTGTCTCAAATTCCCAGCGGCACCAAGTAGGTGCTGAAAATGAGTGACATTTGACAGGACGCCGCGATGCTTTGCGTCAAGTCAGTCGATGGAATGCTTGCACGGGATCCAAGCGCTATAATTAGACACTATGTATGTGTAGTAAATAGGCCATTGCTGTGATCGACTTTTGAACGAGTAACTTAATTCTCAAGAGAGTTTGCTTCGAAAATTTCTTGAAGTGAAATCTCACTCAAAAGAAGAGCAAAGATACCGTTATTCGGAATCATAAAGGAAAATGTTTCGTTCAAAAACTTAGAGTGGATTCTTAATCCATATGAATTAATGTTTCAATCGATCAGGATGACGTTGTTCCTGCGATAGTGGAATATGTCAAATTCACTCCCCAATTTCAAATCATAGTATTCACTCGACGATTAAAATTAGGGGATTTACTCCATCTGCGTCAAAAGTCACGCGAATTCGAGTTACTTGGCTGTCACTTCACTTTTCGAGTGGAATTTTACTCGAAGAAGTTTAATAAGTGCTTTCTCGTACTCGATCTCCATACACGAGTCTTTAAGATTTATTTGCGGTATATCAGATTTTACACGCGCGACTCACGATAGTGACTTGGTAATTGAAGAACGAGGAAGTATATGAGTATGAGTATCCTATTTTTTCGTTCATTTGCCGCGCAGCTTACGAAAATCCGTTCAACCGGACGCTGAGCAGACGCGCCGCACCGACAACTCCCTGCAGATCTGGTTGCTGGAGGCGAAGGGCGTGCCCGCGAAGAAGCGATACTTTTGCGAGGTTTGCCTGGATAGCACTTTATACGCTCGAACGACTGCCAAGTTGAAGGCTGATCTGTGCTTCTGGGGCGAGCACTTTGACTTCCATCACTTGCCCTCCGTCAACACTATCCAGGTTAATTTGTACAGGGAGGCGGATAGGAAGAAGAAGAGGGACAAGAATGTTTTAATCGGTAAGTGTGCCTTCCAAGTTGCGAGTAACTGATAATTTACGCGATCGAAGTGTCAGCAGTATTGCACTCGTGTCTGTGATTTTTCCAAGCGATTCTCACAAGGTATTATTAGAGTAGATTGTAAGTGTTCATAGCGAAGTACAGTGCGATTTTCAAATTGGCTAGGACGCATGTAATCTGACGTGTCTAATGTAATATTATCCTTGTCCTTTGCAGGTTCCGTCAGTATACCGGTACACAACGTGACGTCGCGTTACCTGACAGAGAAATGGTATCCCGTGGTAGGTGACAAGGGACCCCTCAAGGAACCTCCCGCACTTAGAGTGAAGTGTCGCTTCCAGTCGGTTGACATACTGCCGGTTCAGGTGTATCAGGAATTTCTGGAGTATCTGAAGACCGATTACGCGTCGCTGTGCGAGAAACTAGAGCCTGTCATTGGCGTAAAAGCAAAGGAGGACATCGCGACCGCTTTGGTGGCGGTAATGCAACGGGAGAAGAAGGCGCCGCAATTCCTCGCCGACCTCGTCATGATGGACATTCATCGAATAGGTCGGTCCCCTATTATTCGTACGACCACTTCTCGTATATAAAGTCGTTGGCGCGTTCCATTTGAGAACAATGGATCGTTATTGCTTACAATCGAGTAACTCGATTAATTTTTGAATACTAGTTAAGTTCTTTAATATATATGCAATAAATGCAGCTGGAAAAGAAAGACTAATAAGAAAACACAGTTATAAATGTTAAAAATTCCGTTTGGAAACTTTAATTCTTGTTTTGAATCTTATTTTAACTCTTAATATTTTATACTTTTTACGTACATGTGTATTAGTTTCTCATCGGCCTCTTTGGCTTTACTCGATTGTGAATCGAAAAGAATGTCATTCTCAGATTCTGTTTCAAATTCACAATTGATAATTCCAGATGACGAGAGACTCACATTTCGAGGAAACTCGTTGGCCACGAAGGCGATGGAAGCCTACTTGAAATTGACCGGGGACAGGTATCTGCAAGAGACATTGGGTGCCGTTGTGAGAGGCGCTGTGGAAGGTGGCGATTGCGAAGTAGACCCGCTCAAGGTCGCTTCCGTCGCCGCGTTGCACAAGCAACAGCAGAACCTGCGTAATGCCGTCGAGCTGGCGTGGAGCAGAATATTATCGAGCCACGCTCACTTCCCGCTGGAATTGCGCGAGTGTTTCCGTATCTTTCGCGAGCGCTTAGCCGATATGGGCCGCGAGGACATCGCGGATAATCTCATCTCTGCGTCGATCTTCTTAAGATTCCTCTGTCCCGCCATTCTCAGCCCGTCTCTCTTCAACATCACGCACGGTGAGTCAAAGCGCGATTATTTCACTCTTTGGTTTAGTATTATAGTACGATTGTGTCGCTCATCATGAACGCATGTTTCCATCAACATTAATGATTATTATGCAAGAGTCATTGCACGAAAATAGCTTGCTATATTATTCTGCCTTTTTCATGAAAAGAATGAAAAGAAAAAAATATCTCTCGCTTCAGAGTATCCGAACGAGAAAGCGGCGAGAAATCTCACCCTAGTGGCAAAGACGCTCCAAACGCTCGCGAACTTCACGAGATTCCAGGGCAAGGAGAACTTCATGGAATTTATGAACGACTTGCTCGAGCGCGAAGCACCGTCTATGAAGGACTTCTTGCAACTAATTAGCGTAAGAATGTTTCATAACATATCGTATCTCACGTTATAATCACTAATATCTATACATTAGATCGTACAATTGCTTTGTACATTTATCAATCCTTTCTTCTTTTACGTAATTATATGGATAACTGAAGTGAAACTCTTTTTCTGCCCGACACAGAGCCCACTGCCAAAGGACGCGCCGGCTAATAACTCTCTCGAGTTTGACGGCTACATAGATCTAGGCAAGCAATTGTCTCTACTGCACGCACTTCTACGTGAAAGCATAACCGCGATCGCTCCCAGCTCGCCGTCAATGCCGCCGTCGCGATTGCCTGAGATCCTTGACAGAATTTCTCTGGCGTTGGATCAACCGGGCCCGAGCCCGGTGCCCGCCGCGCATCGTTACCCGAATCTGCAGAACAATATCTTCCGCTACAACGATCCGACGATCGCCAACAGCAACACGAATCTCTCCATCTCGGCCACGTCGACCCTGAGCAATCACAGCACACTGAACGGCACGATCAGGGACAGCAATGAGGTATTGCAAACGAACACATTGGGCCACAATAGCTCTCGCAGCCCGAACGTCGCTAGAGCGGCTACTTTACCGCGAAACGCTTACATGCCGACGAACGGCAAGTTACAGCTGCAAATCAGCTCAGACGATTACCCATTTGAGCCACCCGCATTCGTATCACGCTCCCCGACGCCGATCACACGGCAACACAGGCCAGTCGGACCCAATCGCTCCGGACCGGGTTACAGACTGACGGCCAGCGCGAGCTTGGCGAACGTGAATCACTGCCAGGCGCATCCGACGAGCCCGACGCGCTCTGAGAGTCACAGCAATCTAAAAGACTCCAACTATAACATCACGTCGCCGCAGAGCAACCAGTCGAGCAACGGTAGTGTTGTTTCGCAGCAGCAACAGCAACAACAACATCGACACAACATGGCACGCTTACAGAGTCTCGACATCCACGATCGGGAAGACAATTACAACCACAATAACTACAACGTCTCGAGGTCAGCCAGCCGGAACCATTGCCACAAAGAGGAGAACGCCAATCAGACACAGCAGCGCAACTATAACAACGTCTCGAAGACCACGGTGAACGCTAACGTGGTCGTCAATCCGCCCACGAATCTCACCTTGTCGATCAATCATCAGCCCAACAACAACTACAACACCTCCAAGGCGAACAACGCACCCGCCAACGGCAACCTCGACGAGCTCTCCGATCTGCTGAGATATGCAGATGACGAAGTTTCGGAGTCCAAATCGCAGAAAGGCTCACAAATATCGATCTCGCAGCTGAGCAACGTGGCGTCGTCCGGCTATCAGAGTTTCGCCGCTTACAGTCAGAGTTCTAGCCCGGTAGATCTCAGCAGCAATAACGCGAACCCGCATATCCTTAGCGCGGCGCCGCTGGCGTTCGCTAATCCCGTCTATCACATGGAATCGAATCACGCGAGGACGGGCAGAAGGGGCAGCAGCAGCTCCGAGGAGAGAGAAGGCAGCGGCGGTGGTGTCGAGAGCGTGAGAGGCGTCGATCTGAGTCCGTCGCCGCCACCCAAGAACAACGTGCGAAACCTTCAGAGGAACAGTCAGAACCAGTGGCGGCAGGCCAATCAGACGCACAGAAACAATTCGGAGCACACGCAGGACGTCTGCTGCACGAAGCTGAGAAGGAGGCTCTCCTTGGACTCCACGAGGGATCTGTCCGACACCAGCGAAGAGGAAAACTGTACGACCAGGAGGAGCAAATCTCGTAGTCACCGAAGTATCGATCAGGTGAGCTCTTATCGGGCTTGAGCACATTTCTCACGCACGAAGACGCGGAGAATTGTCTCGAGTTCTTGAAAATCGGGACTTAAATATTGAATTGTGAATAACAGACTCTTTTACTTCGCTGTGGATCTATTGACTTGTTAATGTGCGAAATTCAATTTCAGCAATAAGTCGTCTTTTAACGAGTGTCTACTACATTATTCTTTCCGATGTGCGTTTCCGTTGTAACTAACACGACGCGTGTCTCTTCGTTTCCAGTACGAAGTGGAAATGTACGAAGTGGAGAGGCTGCAGAATAGCGTAGATCGACTGCGATTACGCGCGCGATTAGGCGCCACGGAGGATGCCGATATAGACCTCGCGCCGGACACCAACATGAAGAGTATCATTTCCAGGTACTTGGTCCTCCACTTCTCTACCTAGCCGCTAACCCACCGGATCTCTTTGCCTGAGTGTGAACCCTATACCACCGTGATCATTATTATCACTTTCTTATCTGCGTCTTTTTTTCATTTTTTCACTTTGACGTCTCTCGTCATGTTCAGCCACTCGATCTTCCATATCCTCATTTTCTCGACTCTCGTCGTCTCGAGATTCATTCGGAACCTCCATAAAAGAAAAAGAAAATAGTCTCTCTTTCTTTCTCTTTCTCTCTCTCTTTTAGGATCGACGGCTACGAATTGGCAGTTTTTGGATTCAGCTAATCGCGCTTTCAAAGTGACACGATATTACGAAGTACGCGGGATTCATGTAGATTCTTGCATCGGTCGTCATCGATCGCGTGATCGAACGAACGCGACTTTAGACATTGGCTTTGAGAACGACCAGTAGATACGTAGAGTCCACTTTATTTCGCGTGCTATCCAAGGATGGGCTACGTTCTAATCGCGTGTACAACTTGTTCTATGTCTAACGGGGAACTTATGGGGAAACACACTCACCCGTATATGAACGGCTACTTTATCGAAATGATGTATGTTTAACTGATTGTGTGTTCCTGTGCATTCTATCCGCTGCATTTGGTATACTCTGGCTTGATCTGGACCTTGGTGTAAGAGTCAATCATATTTCTAAGCTTTCTTATATTTTTTACATTCACATCGTTAGCTTCTCATCGTTATTTCTCTTACTGTCTCTCTGTTTCTAACCGAGAAAACACTGCCGCGCCGATCGTTGTGCCCGCGAGTGTGTCCGAAGTTATTGAACAGAGCGGGAAAGCGTGTCACACTTCGAAGTTTCACGCGTTTACCGACGTCTCACCGACATCGTCGTCACATCAACCTCGACAACTCTTCACCGACAATCGAATGTCGCTCATCGTACACCGACACGCCTCACCAACACACGTTCCCGACACACGTTCGTGCTGCACGGATGTTCTATGATTCCCAAGTAACAATCACGAAAGATGAACACCACCAAAGAAAGAAATGTCCGTCGTATTGTGCGAATCGCCTTGCCGAGCCGTATGCGCCTTGCCGCGTACCTCTTCTCAAAGTGGACATTTCTTTTTTCTCCTCGCGATCACGTACAACATGTTCGCTGCGGAAGTTTATGTCGCAGACGCAGACACATCACATGGTTCCTCTCGATCTCAGCAAGATTTCCACCTTCACGCATCCCGTTTCTCTAAACTATACAATCGAAGTTGTGCACCAGACACACTATCGCTTTTTACAGCTTGATTTTGGATCTATCGATGTTGTTTCTTTAATTAACCATGCATCGTGGTGCGCTTGGCTCCTTCTCGACTTCGCTGTAGCGTCTCTCGGCCTTTAGTCTCCAACTAAAGCAAATTCCAAAATTCTATACCGCACAAGTGAAATCACTAAAAAAGAGAAGCTGGAGACTCGAGAGACGTTCGCGTGCGAAGCTCGATTCCACGTGCGCTTGGCTCCTCAACGTTCTTCACGCTTCGAGGAAAGGTTGCGAAAAAATCATCGGGTAGCCTCCTGAAGAGTGAAAATCGCTTGGAGGAGCATTTTGGACGAGACGCGCTGCCGTAGTTTTTCCTTTTTTTTCTCTCTATTTTTCTTTCATTCGCGCGACCGCATCCGATCCCGAACGTAACGCTCGTCCGCTTTTGCCCGCAGGTTAATCTCCGTGGAGGAGGAACTACGTCGTGAGCAGCAGAAGATGTCGGCGGCGTTATCGTACAAGCAGCGCGTGATCGACGCGCAGGAACAGCAAATAGCCGCCCTAGGCGCCGCGAATTCGCGTCTGATGTCGACGAACGCAAGCCTGCTGTCAGCGCTAAGTAAGCAACGCTACAACGCTAAGTCGCAGGTGGCCGGTGAGGCCGCGTCGTTGCTGCAGAACATCGCTGACATCGGCGAACTGAAGAGCTCGTCGTGTTAAGCATGCCGTCGCCACGACCAGGAGTCGAGAACGTCGAGGGCAGAAGAAAAGATCGACGAACAAACCGCGCGCGCGTGCGAGCGAGCTTGTGCGCTTTTCGAAGAGCCTTCGCGTCGCAACCGCGATCGTAGATGTCTCATCATCGACGACGAAATCTTTCCCGAGTGATCGTAGGGTCTCGTCATCTCGTATTATCTCGCAAATACAGTTCACACGTCGCAGAATGTAAGAATGTCGACGAGGGGCGATTCCGAAGGAAACCCATTGTGGTTCAGCTCCCGCCGAGATCGATACCTGGGTCCGCGCTGACCCAGGCATTGTGGTCTGCGCGGTTGCCGGAACCGTCAGTATTTCGAGAATTAACAGATCGAGAGCGACGATGATGCGGGGAGTTTCGGCGTTCGGCGGATGAAAGGCTCGTTCGGAGAAACGTGAGAGGTCTATGGGTCTTCCCTGGTTGCGATTCGCCATGTGGATTCCCCACGAGTCGCGTTTAATTTTAGCAGTTACTGCTCGTCGGTTGGTAGAATCACTCTGCGCTCGATCGCCTGAAATGAGTGCGGCGAACGAACGGAGAAACGACGATGTCTGAGCAGGTATTATGGAAACCATTCGGAAGAGTTTACGATCAGAATAATTCCGTTTTTCCTGGACAACGTAATAGAAATTTAAGGAATAGAGCGAAATTATTTTCTGAATTGTTTGATGATATCTGCCCAAGGTAGAAATATATTATGAAACTATCCGGGAAGGTTTACGATCGGAGTAATTTCGTTTTCCCTAGACAGCACAGAAATCTTTGGAAATAGCGGTATTATTCCGCTCGAGAACGGGGTTTTCGAACTGCTTTGTAATACATTACAAGATCCGAGGAAACAGAGTGATTCTCGTGCCGAGAAAGAGAACGCGAGAAACTGGGAGTGCGACAGAATAAGGCGAAAGAGAGAGCGAGAAAGGGAGAGAGATAGAACGACGTACGAAAGAGAACAGGAAAAAAAACAGAGGCTACTTTAGTGAATAGGCAGAGGCGGATGGAGTAAATAAGCAGTTTTCGTCGATTTTAATGTGACATAGCGTTTAGGGTAGGTTTATTTGTGCGCGACTGAGAAAATCCGTGACTCGTCCGAGGGCCCGTTTGAGAAAATCGCCGCCGCGATACCGCGTGAACGACGAACGATCGACTCGCATCAACGACGGTCAACAAGTTTAAGAGGCATCGTGTAACGGTTCGCGAGAATGTCTCGACGGCGACTTTGCTTCGTTCGACATGAACGAATCGAAAGTAGCGATAAGACGAAAAATAAACGAACGCGCGTCAAAATTAGGAAAGATACGCGGCACAAAATAGGCTTACTTTGGTCGTGCTCAACCTGATTAACCCTTTTACTACGAATTTTGCTCTATCTAAAGCTAACAATCTCTCTGTACTCATGTAATGATTTTGGCTTAGAAGTCAATGTATACTCTGTGATTCGAGTTTGGCTTAGTGAATAATGAAGAACAATTTTTTTAATTTTATTTTTCTCATTTTCTTGTCTCCCACGGGGGATTTGCTCCACAGGAGTTATGTTATCCGAATATACTCGGAGTTAAAGGGTTAACGAGCACGAATTGGCGAAAGTGTCATCTCTGGCAAAAAATCTTGAGCAAAAGTCACCCTTGGATGAAAATTATTCTTGATAAGGGTATTGTGAAATAAAACTCAGGTTTACACAGTATTTCATTTTTATTGAAAGTTGAAACTTTGCTATTTGCAAGTTACATCTGATATTGGGTGATAACGCGAATAAGAATTACTTCGTTCTGTTAAACAATAATTACTTCTTATCGTATAATTTCTTCTCGATAACTTCATCGATTCAGGATATTTAGCTGCTACTATAGCCTTATCATTGAACATTAAGTATTTTATACATATTTCTCTTCGGTACATCTTTTCCTTTTAACATTGTCTGTACAAATATTTTTATTTTGTACGGATGTAACGCAGATGATATGAACGAAAATCCTTTCGTATTGAGCGAACGTTGTGTCAATATTTTTAAGAGGATTAATCGCAGCAATTAGTATCTATGGAATATCGTTTTTTTCTTGCTCCAGAGTTCATATAAAGAATTTATAAATTGTGTATTATATTATATATATATATATATATATATATATATATATATATATATATATATATATTATTCAAAATTACGTCCTCTGGGAAACGCGGTTGGAAAATCGAAAGTCGACTTCTCGTGCTGGTTACGCGACGAAGATCGACAGTCTGGAAAGGAAAGGGAAAAAGAAATCTTGTCAAAAAAAATCGACCAGCGACGAAATAATCGAGGACAGCCACGAGAGATTAATGAATCGTGCGTATTCGTTCTTCTCATGCATTCGTATTCCGGCCGCGCACGCGCCTAACGTAGTCGTAAAATTTCCATCTTAATTTATGTCGTGCGAAGGTTACAATGTTATTTTGGAGAATCTCGGAGATCGAACGGGCCGCGTTTATCCGGCGGATAAAGCGCGGTCGGAATGCGGAAATCGAAACCAGTGTAATTCCGACGACTTCAAATTCGAGGAAAGGGAATACTCTCGCGTTCCTCATTTCCCCTTTGTTCGCAAACGAGCGCGAGGGATCGTCGTCGTTCGTACCGAGCGCGGTGTCTGGAGATCCGACGAAATTATATCGGTGTCGATCACACTGGTCTCTAATATCTACGCACAGCCAGACATGCACTGTAACGGTGAAGCGCGAGAACGGTCGTCCTAGCGTCGTGAGAACATTCTCGTGCACTGATTTGACCACACTTCGCAGAATCTTGCACAAACTCCTCTACTTCTCCAGTTTGTCCCGCTTAGCGTGGCTTACTGCGTATCGTAATGCGATTTCCGCTCGCGTATTCGTCGTTTCGAAGGACCATCTTTGACGTGTTAGACTTTTCTTCCTGCTTCTTCATTCACCGATATGGAACCGTAGGCGAATTGCAGGGTCTTTGCAAGATAATAGACGCGACTTATCATTTCTTCTTAGATTATCGAGCATCGAGCGAGTCGCGGGACAGTCGTGCGTTCGCGAGAAGCTGTTGTAGAAGCTCTCTCTTCCGCGAACGAAACGCGAGACATCGTCGAGTCGAGAGATGCGCACCAATTCTGAGGACTGAACTCCCAGAGCCGACGTTTCTCGCACGTCTTCTCCCTTCCTGCTTTTCCTACTTCTTTTCTCTCTCACGGGGCGCGAGCGAACCGTCGCAACTACCATTTCGGTTCGACACGACAACCTTTACTCTATAAGCGACGATATTTATTTAGTAGTGTCTACCAAAGATGATGAATTTCGAATTGTAAAGAGAGGAAGAGAGTGAAAGAGAGAGAATGCGAGTGAAAGAGATAAAGAGCGAGAGAGTATCGAGAGATTCTCTTTTTATGTAAGATATTTCTTTTTTTTATTTTTGCGTCGACCGTTTCCGATGAGGGCGAAAGAAGATAAACGCGCGATCGCGATCGAGCGAGAAGAGAGACGCGCGAAAAAACGCGACGAGTTTGAAGAGGAGGAATACATCTGTGTCCTGCTCCGTTGATCATCTCATTCCGCTGTTCTACCGCTCGCAGCGAGGAGAATCGCACACCGAGATTCCCGAGTCGCGCGTCAATCGCCTTTGAAATAATTCTATACGCGCGCAAATGAGCGAGCGTGTAACGCATGACAGTTTAGATGCCTCCGCGAGAGGCTTCGTTCGCGAGTTCTAGTGTGTTTATGTTTTATTACATCACGATAACAATTATTATTGTAGCCATTGTCGTACAATGCATGCGTGAAAGACTGAGTGAAATAGCGGATGTGAATCAGGAGCGAAAGAGAGAGAAAGAGGGAGACAAGAGGAGTGAAAGAATAAGAGAAAGAGAACGGAAAGAATGCAACTTAAAGAACGAGAACGAAAGAAAGAGGGTACGCTGTATGTATGTATGTGTGTGAGTAAGTGAGTGAGTGAGTGAGTGAGTGAGTGAGTAAGTGAGTGAGTGAGTGAGTGAGTGAGTGAGCGAGCGAGTGAGTGAGTGAGTGAGCGAGCGAGTGAGTGAGTGAGTGAGTGAGTGAGTGAGTGAGTGAGAAAGAGAGAGAGAAAGTGAGTTGAAAGAAGTGAGGAAAGATCATAATCACAGTCTAATCTCGTTAAAGAAAAGTATTATCTTGTCGACTTTGTACCATAGTGTTATTCTCGATGCGTGTTCAAGCGTTTGAGTTTCTTGCCTCACGCCGATTATTTTTGTATAGAGATTGACCTTTCTTCCCCCTCGCCCCCGCCGCCCCTCTCCCCCCCCTCGTCTCCCTATTATTTGTTTATGTACTTTAACTTTACCCTGCCACCCGTCATCACCGCTCTGCGTTCGCGGGGGAAACTCGCCGGCTTTGTGAAAGGCACTTTTCTCCAACTCGTCGAGTGTATTTACGTCACGAAATTAATATATATTAACGCTCCCTTCTTCTCTTGTTGGACGATGTAATCGAATATCTATTTAAAAGAGACCCACACTTAAATAGCGTGTACATTTATTAAGTTCTTTGATATATTCGTTTCTCTGCAATAGATCACCTGTATTTAAACGTATAGCGACTATTACACTACATGAACAAATAAATACGATTAGACATATTATAAGAATGAGTCCGGCATTTCCCTGAAGCAATATATTCTTAATGCAGAAAAGAAGATGAAGATAATGAAGACACGATTATATAGTGATAGATTTCGTGATAAACCCAAAACAGATTTAAACGCATATATATTGATATATTGGATTTTACGGTCAATGTCAATTTGTTGACCAACAATTGAATGTATCAAATTGAAAGTGTTTCGCCGAGTGAAGGTATAAACATTAATATTCAGCTGCATGAAATCATAAAAAACTTTATTTAGACCGTCAATAAATAAATATTTTTATATCATGCAACTATATAACCAACTATATTAACTATTCACTAACGTTGTACTCTCGCTCAGTGAGAGCACTTTTAATTCAGTTGAAAAAAGTAAAGGTTGCGAAATTAAGACTTTTAAGACAATGTTGGATCCCGACATGACGCAGGTTTATATTTTTCTCCTTTCTTCTAGTTGGATGCATTAAATTGAAAATGTTTTGAAGATGTCAATAGTTGATTAGCTCACGATTAATTGAATAACCCACGATTTTCTTTTAGACCAAGTTCCACAACATCCGTTTAATTTTAACTATCAGTTAAGTCCGAATAGTGGTTGATTAATTCTGATTAACTCTTCTTAATGGCTGCGTTCAGAAAACATAGCTGATCAGTGAGCGGTCAGTGATTATTGGTCCTTACTGTTAGATCCTTAACTGTTAGACCAATTACGTTGACTAATTACTCAACCATTGTGCAACAGTTGTGTCTTCTGAACGCATCCAATGTCAAATGCGATTGGTCAAGTCCAATGGAATTACCAGCCAGTTAACTGGAGATTGTAGAACTGGGCCTAAAGGCCAAATCACACTGGCGATTGATGATTGATGATTGAAGATTAGATTTTGACGAATCAACGAGCTTCAACCTTGGCTTGCTTTGTTCCAATTGGTCAAGTCCCAATCTTCAATCGTCAATCATCTATCGCCAATCGCTAGTGTGATTTGGCCTTAAAGACCAAATCACACTAGTGATTGGCAATTGACGATTGACAATTAAAGATTAGATTTTAACGAATCAACAAGCTTCAGCCTTGGTTTGCTTTGTTCCAATTGGTCAAGTTCCAATCTTTAATCGTCAATCATCAATCACCAATCGTTAGTGTGATACGGGCTTAAGGCCAAATCATACTAACGATTGACGATTGAAGATTGGAACTTGACCAATTGAAACAAAGCAAGCCAAGATTGAAGCTTGTTGATTCGTTAAAATCTAATCTTTAATTGTCAATCGTCAAT